GTTCAAGGGTGGACAAGAGCAAGGTTCTCTTCTAGATAATTATATTATTATATTTCGGATGTTTAGGTTTATGCTTAAACTCATTTTGTAATGTAATCCGGTATGGGACGAGTTAGCGTTGAGCTATTAATTTTAATTGAATTTGTAAGACTTCCGCTGTAATAAGGCTTTATTAGCCTCTATATTTTGGGGTTATTTATTGTTATTTAATGAGAATGACGTGACACAACTCATGGTGAAAATGAGAGTGTTACAATTACAATCTACATTAATCGTCTAGTCCAAATATGTATGCGTTGTATAACTTTTAAATCCATTTGAGCACTAAAATTAATAAAAAACGATATATTTAATATCGAATCAGTCATATAAATAAAACTTCGTCGATTTTTGAATCTGAAAGTTTCATTGTGATTACCATAAATCGCTGGTCACAAAAGTAAATTAGTCTCATTTCATAAAAATCCATACGACTAACTAATTTAAATAAAACATCAACACCTTTTAAATAGAATTAATAATAAAATATTATCATAATATATATTTACACGTTTGATATATATATATATATATATATATATATATTATTTTTTAAATATTTATGTTTGTTATTTAATACATAATTCAATATATTTTGAATATTTAATATTAATATTCTAACTTTTGCATTTGATGTAAATGCCTCAATACCGGATAAATATCTTACATTATTGATTGTATATCAAGATTGTTATAAATTGTTATACTTGACACTTTATCTTAAAGATGTAAGACACCTAAATGGGTATAATCTCGTCATTATTGTAACACTGAAAATACGGTGTTACATACATTTGAAATCTCAAGATCAAATCTTTCAACATCATTATTTCTCTTAATTATTTTAGTAATAACAAGTTAAGAGCATGGACCGAGTTGATGCCCCTTCGGCTTGGAACAAGGAGTAGCGCAACCATTCCTCCCACCAATTAAGTTTGCGGTCGACTGTTTTTTTTTTTCCCGAGTTTGTTAAGGATCATCAACTTGGAAACAAGAGTCAAACAAATCAGTTAAGAAGGTTCAACAACTTGATCATCATCTTGACAACAAGATTGAGACATAAACTCGATTACCAATATTTGTTTCTAATGACTTAAGACAATAAAATACTTAATATTTTCATCAGTATCATCTTGGGCCCCTCTGGAGGTGTAGGAAACATTTAATCGACATAAAACGTTGTTCATGATAATGATACCAAACATATTCTAAAATTTAAATCATATACAACTTTATTATTATCATTATAAAATTATTATTATTATTAAAAGGGTAAGTTGAAAAGTCAAATACATGAACTTTATATTATCATATAATGATAGTTGAAAAATTCGGGAAACAAAGAGGGGAGTGATCAAGAAAAAGTCTCATAACGCAGTCATACGGTCCCAAATTCCCTTTTCTAATCATCTCTTTCTTAAAATCTCTCTTTTCGATTCTAAATTTCTAATTTCGGCTAGTCAAATTTTGAACTAATCAACCCCATAGCTAGAACGACATGAACCTCCAATAGAGTCCTCCGTCGGAACTTGAATTTTCTGATGAACCCGTTTATAAAATTTGTTAAGGATCATTATCTTGGCAACAAGATTCGACAAATTAGTTAAGAAGGTTCATCAACTTGATCATCATCTTGATTCTTGGCAACAAGATTTGGACGTGAACTCGATTATAAATATCGCTCTTTTAATGACTTAAGACAATAAAAAATACTTAATATTTTCATCAATATCATCTTGGGCTCCTCTAGAGGTGTCGGAAACATTAAATTGACATCAAACGTGTGGTAACCTGGGTATTCGGTTATAAAAGTTCAAGATGTTTTTGGAAGGTGATGATAAGTGGAGGGATTTAATTTGTGTATGTGCTTAAATGTTTAAAATAATCTCCACCGCCTCATTTTTTTAAAATAGTATTATGAGATAATGTCTATTATCTCATTGAGATGTGGAAAAGGTAAAAAAAAAAAAGGATAAGGAAGTTTTCTTGTGTATGTGCTCTTGTGGTGAAAAACAAACAGACCTGTGAGGAAGATGAAGAAAAGTTCATTATGTGATTTCTATTTGAAATTTGTTGCTATGATTAAATCCATCTTCATCTACGAGAACATAAAGTGAGTTTAGTTTTTCAACTTTCCTTATTTAGTATTTGAAATTTGAACTGTATGGTTCTTACATGGGGATGTTGATAAAACTGTTTTTGGATGTTATTTGAGCATGATGGTGAGACTGGGTATAGAACCGTATGGTTCTTTATATGAGAACCGTATGGTTCTTTATATGAGTTACTGTAATGAAACTGTTTTGATGCAATTATTGGCAAAATGGTGGTTTTTGTCATGATTATATCATGTGTTGTAATAAGAGTGACATAATCGAGAGATGGGTAAATTTGTAATAAAGGTGATATAATCAGGAGCTGAGTAAATTGGTAATAAGGGTGACATAATCAGAAGCTGAATATATTGAGATAAGGGTGACAAATTTCTGAAAATTATGATCTTTTTGATCATGGGGTTTTGTTATCGCATCCTTATGATGTGATGATCATAAGTTATCGCATCTTATTGATGAAGATATGATACATTGATAGAGTATGATACATCTCAATATACATACATACATACATATATATATATATATACATATATATATATATATCATTTCTTCTACTTTTTTTTCGTTCCATCAATGTGCGATAAGCAAATTAACCATATTTTAATATTTGAAAAATATTCAAATCTCATAATATCAAATCATTCTATTTGGTTTCTCCTCGTGTATATATATATATATATATATATACTATCTTATAAAACATTTTGGGTAAAACTCTTAAAAACTCTTAAACCCGTTCATCCCTAAACGATTTCATCCCTATCCGATTTCATCTCATATCTGAATTCGTGTACTGCAGATAAACACAATCAAATATAAGATAAACATCTCATTTTAAATATAAAAAATCTAAAACATAATTAGTATAATCATTAAATTCTAACAGAATACTTAATTATTATCTTTATAAAATTTATAATATTAAACAAAAAATAAATTGTTTTATTATTAAACTTAAATT